CGACTTTTACGTAAACGAACGAAAACGAGCAAAAAAATGAGGAAACATGGGACGAGCGACGTTTTTAGCGAGGAGGAAGGTCGAAATGCTTGACGAGCGGAGTTATTAAACGTAAAACCGGCCTCGAGTACACGTGAGAAATCGATGCTCGGATGATTATCTACACGGCCTGGGCGATCGAACGGTTCCAGTTGGGAACCCGACGCGAGCATCGCCAACGAATGGTAGAGAGATACTGTGTTGCGTGTAAGACGAACCCAATGTTCGGCAGCACCGCATCGTAGAGAACCACGCGCACTAAACGCTTTTCGTGTTCATATGAGAAAAAAACGAGAGAATTGAAATAAAGTAGGCGCAACAAGTAGGAAGTATCCGTTCGCGGAACGCCTGAATGACCAACGATTATGCAATCCTCCCCGGTTGTTCGACAGTCTGTTCACCCCGCTTTGCGTTGCAACGAAGCGGTCCACGTTCCTCTTTCTCTTGTTAAACGAAATAAAACTTCAAATTTAAAATTTCGTCATTGCAAAGGCAATGTTGTTTAAATATTTTGTCAATAGACGTGAATCGGAACATAACTTCGTTGAGACTGATTTTAATCGAACGTGGAATATTTGTCGGGACGAAATTGCATCGAAGCTTGATAACTCACTCGTAACTGTGAATCTACTGTCCTCGGTTATTTGCATTTAACGCGTTCGCTACTGGTGTTCACAAGGATCACTGATATCGGGAGTTACGTTCTTACCGTCCAACGAGAAATACGATGCATAGAAACTATTATGAGATAGATAACTTAAATAAATTAAATCATTGCCTTTTAACCCACAATTATCACCTTCATCTCTAACAATTTTAGCTTGTAGTTTTCAATAGTTTTAATCGAAATCGTTTTCAAAAATGTCACACACGATAATGTACGTGTCGACATAATCAACTGTAACTATCATAAATCGAAACACGATTCCTATCGGACACGTGACGCACGGTAACGAACGCGTGAAAAAATCGGGTCCACTTTCGAATGACCGTGGAGCATTGTTGCGCGCCGTTTCCAAAAAACTTAGGAATGTAAATTTCGTCGCGTGCCGGAAAGTTCGTAGAACCCACGTGACCGATTCCGCTCGCGACGAACTTTGAAGGAAACGGCGGGCGCGGCGACGAACGGAGATTAGAGTTTATCAGAAAGAAAATAACAACGGTAGGTAATCGTCATTAGACGCGTCGAAGCATGCTCTCGATGATCTCGCTTGTTCGTTGTTACACAATCGTTACGAAGAAGAAAAGGACGATGAGCATAAAACCAAGAAAACAAACCAAAAAAATGGAGGAAGAACACATAAAAAGGAAACGAAGCCTAAGACGGCGTGAAACTGGCTCGTGTTCTCTCGATAATAAAACTTCTCGTAGCCCTGCACGTGTGATAATGTGCTTCGCGTTTGAACGAAAAAAAAAGAGAAAACAAACGGGGAGGAGGAGAACACTGTTCGAGGACACCGCGCGTTTTTCGTCCTCGAGCGTTTTCCCGTTTCCCCGCGGTGTAATCGCGGTCGCCCCTCCTCTATTGAGAGGGCGGCCGTTGGTTCATTTGTTTGTGCTCGCGCACCGTTCGCACCCTTTCCTTAATTCGAGGCGTTTTTTTTAGAAAAAGTTGTAATTAGACGAGGGGAGTTGAGCGTCCTCTGCGCGTGCGTGCGAGAAGGATAAGAAGGAAGGAAGATAGGAGAACCGGGATGGAAAGTGTGCGTGTGTTCAGGGAGCCTGGAAGAGTTAGCGATGGATAAATAGTTGTTTAAAAGGAATAAAGAAGAAAGAAGGAGAAAGGAATACCACGAAGAAGAGAAGGAAGCTGCTGATTATGATGATGATGATGATGATGAAGAGATGAAAACGAAATGGAGAAAGAGGAGCATCTGGTTCGGTACCTTAATACGGTTCTACACCGGGCTTCTTAAAGCCTTTAGCGTGATATGATAAGACGTGCCTGCTACATGATGTCGTACGTAGCTTTCGAAAAGAAAAAAAAATGTTTCACCGCCTTTAGTTTTCTATAAGACAGGTAATTCCCGCGCGTCCCGGATTTTCCCTATTTTCGCGCGCCCTCTAGAACGAACCGTGCAGACGCGTAACATGGCTGCATTCACGGTTAACGATCGCCACCGGAATCGAACGTTAAGAGGAAGAAATGGAACAGAGAACACGAAGGAAATAGCAAGACGATGAACCGTGAATAATTTCACACATATCCTTGCGTCTAACGAATGGAGAACAGTTTCGTTTCCGTGGAGAACCGGTGCCCGAAACTTCACGATCTTACGTGTTCCGGAGAAAAATAAAAAGAGAACGAAGAGAACGAACGAGGACGACGGAAAAAGAGAAATTCGTCCGGTTTATTTGAAGCTGCATAGAATCCCGACAAAAACGTTTTTTGGAGTATCGTAGTACGACGAATATTCGGACCATCGATGGCGCGCAACCATTGTGCTTGGCGCGGGCAGCGAAGGATTCGTTATTCTCGTTCCCTTCGATCGAGAATAAGGAGAGAATAAAAACAAATGGGAGAACAAACGAGAACAATAATTACCGAATACGCGATCGAGGGACGTCGGCCGACACGCGCGAAAACACGACGAAAGTCAGGACGAAAGGACGTGTCCGTGGGTTTAAAGTCGTTTCATTGTAAAAGAGAGTTTATAAAAAGAAAAAAAAAGAGCGAATTATATTATAGATGTATACCTAATGGCGCGTTATTTAGACGTAACGGCGAATTCGAGACAAGATTATAAATAGTCGACAGCTTAGTTGTTAGAAGTTTTTGAGGC